TTAGGAAGATTGTTTTCGTAACTTGTTAGAAATAAAAAGTGTGTTTTATTATAATTAACAGTAAGAAGCCTATGATCAAACCAATTAAAAAGGAGTTTTAAGTCATCCTCAACTAATACCTTTAAGTCCTTCCACGTATCTGCCGAATAGAAAACAACGGTATCATCGGCAAAGCTAAGTACCTGGCCTATTTATCGATTCTTCATAAAAATATCTTATTTTAATATATTTAATCTCAATAATTAAAAAATATATTGACAATTAGTTTGACAGAATTGTCACTTATTTAAAATTTTAAAATTATAGTAGTTGGGTGACCAAACTATGAACTGTGATTGGTGGATTTCATTTTTTTGCAGTGTTCTCACTACCTAGAATGAATATGAAATATATTCATAATAGTACTTTACAACGAAAGTCTGCTTTCTTTTGTATTAACTTTTTTCACCCTAATTTATAATTTTTGTGGTATCTTCTTGGATTTTTAGGTGCTTGTTTGTATTCGGATGGTTTTTAAATGTTAGAGCTTTCGGCGCTGATCAGCGCCTTCTTCAGTATGGTGTTTATTACTTTATATTATTATTTTTTTGCCTTTAAACATTATTATATTTGTCTGTTAGTTTCTTATTTACATCTGTTTTAAATTTCTTTTTTTTATCTTAGGAGTAAGAATAAATCGTCTTGTGCCTAAGGCAATATAATAACTTAATCTAAACATATGATTTTCATTTAAAAACCATTCGAATACATACAGACACTACCTAAAAACCCCCAAGAATTTACCACAAAAATTCGAATATATTCGTTCAGTTGAACGCATTTTGTGGTCTGTGCGTAGATAAGCTCATATCCATGTGGGTGCAGAAAAAATATTATCTGGATAAAACACTTTGAAAATGCTACTTTGTTGATAGTATAAAAAGACGGACAAACAAAAGAAGGCATTAGAAAATTAAATATCGAGTTTTTGCGGAACGACTTTCATATTCAATATAATTTTCTTTTAAAATACGAGAGCGAAATCCATTATGGTATTAAAACCGAATAGGTAACAAAGGAATCTACTACCTTGAAAATTCGCATATATTCTGTTACACGCTTTTGTTTTCCATCTACTTATGTAAGTAATTAATTACTTAGAAATTTTTAAATGTAATAGACCAAAATAAATCCAAAATGGCCGCTAAAGATATTTAGAAAAATTTAAAATATTTATAGGTAAAGAATAATAATTTGGTACTCAGTTCAAACAAAAAAAATATTTCAGAGAAAAATAAGTATGAAAAATTTCCACAAAGGTTTTTCTTTGAGGAGTGAAATATTTTGAACTAAGTTTTCAAAAAAAAAAAATTAAATTATTAATAATCGAACGAAGTATTTTTAGGTTATAAAATAATGACGAATTCCTCCTCGCTGCTTGGGATTGCACAGCCATACCTTGTCGCCCCTCTCAAAATGTGTATCTGTGGCACGCCTGTCCATTCTAGCTTCTGCTTTATCGGTGTGGGTTTTCAGTCGTTCCTAGAGATCTTTGTCCTGTTACTGCATACATCACATTTTTTACACCAATCCGCTACATCCCGTCGGCAATTGACCCAAAAAATCTTTCCCGAACTCGTGTCAGTATCCTTTTAGTATCAAAGTGTCCTCCTGAACGGCTGCTATGAAGCTCCTCCAATACTTTTCTCACCTGTGACTTCGGCAGTATCACTTGGCGGACTACATGTACTCCATCGGGGCACTCCCACTTCCGGTGCAATAGGCCATCGTGAAGATACAGGGAATCCCATTGGGTCCAGTAGCTTTTTATAGTTCTACTGTATTTGGCTATCTCTTGCCAAGTAGGTGTGACTTTATTTTTAAGCCATTCTCGGACAACCATTAAGTCATTGTCTTCCTTTTGTCCCTGTCTCAGGGAGCAAATGCTGCTGGCCATATCTTGCCTCCAAAGCTTGAACGAGAGATGAATAACTGGGTTCCACTTCAGGAAGTAACTCTAAAACGGTTGCTGCCTGACCTCGCAGTGACACTATCAATGAAGCCGCCATCTCTTTCTCGGTCCAGCCATTGGCTCTAGCTGCAGCTTCAAATTGGAGTCGATATGATTCCAATATTATCTGACCGTCAAACATGGGTGGCTTTAGGGTCTTGCTAGTATAGTTTTGTGAAACTGGGATTCGAATGTTGCTTGGTTCGGTTATAGATGAAGACGAGGTAGTAGTATTTGCAGCTTCAATGCTGTTTACTGAAGCTTGGCTGTAAATTCTTTTTTCTAACTCAGCTATTTCAGCTCTAATTTGCCTTTTCAATTCTACTCTAGCCTGTTCTTGTTGTTCTAAATTAGCTTTCAAATTATCTTGCTGTTTCTCTAAATTGGCTTTTAGATGCTCTTGTTGTTGCTCTAACAGATCTACTTTAATTTTGAGCTGACCAATATCTTGTTTAAAGGTTTCCTGGATTTTTAGCAAACCGTTCATAATTTCAATCGCTTTTTTTCTACGTCTCTCCTCCTTCTCGTCTTCTTCTCCCTTCCTACGCCTTTCCTTTTCCTCTTCTCGCCTTAATCTCTCCTCTTCCATCTTCAAAAACCATGCTGGGGGTCCTGAAGTATCCAGTCCTGCTTCGTACTTAGTGGATCTAGTATTTACCATGAACTTTAACTTTGTATCCCACCGCTGTCACCAATGTTACGCTGGTTTTTGGTATTACAATTTATTTCAATTCAACTTTACAATATATCTACCGCAGCACACTGTAGGGCGATGAGTAACATTCCACTTCTTTTTCTATCTGTACGTTTCCTATGATAGCCGCAGGCTACTGCAGGGTGCTGCGTAACAATATTTTAAACATGCTATAACTCGTATAGATTGAGAGCGCATACGCGTATCTAATGTCATCATAGTTTTATACACGTTAAACCTCGTATCTATCATTTTTAGAACCTTGGTGGTAGTCAAATGTACTTTTTCTTACTGTTAAGATAATAGTTGATGTTTATTAGTTTTTATAAATAAGATGGTAAGTAATTCTATAAGAGTATTTTATAAAAACTAAACACACTATTTGATGTTGGCGATTTTTAACAGTGATATTTTTAAGGTTATGTTTATGTTTTTAAGATTAAAACAATATAAATACAAAATGTACCATCCTAATTCTTAATCTATTATTGTGTCTAATAATAAATATTATTACTATATTCAGTTATTTTCATAAGACATTTTGTAAGAAATAACTGAGTTGCGAGGTTGTGAGAAAAATCATATAAAAAATTCTATATACTTATTTAAGCAATATTTGTCTTAATTTGATAAAATATTATTTTTGTATTTTAACCATAAAAAAGTTAGTTACATAACTTATAAAATCGGCTATGCAATTGTTATTATTTTCCTGTCTGTATACAGATAAGGAGAGTACCTCCTACAGGAATCATAATTTATTCGACCTTGAATTTTTGACGGATTTTTACCTTTTGGGGTCCCCTGAATCCGTTTTTACTATTTTCTTGATAATGTCTGTCTGTCTTAAGCTTTATTCCAATTCGAAATTTTTAAAGACTTTTTTTTAATACGGAAATATATTACCAGAAATAATTCGCAAAATTACAAATTTTCTATAGCATAAATAAAAAATAAACTAGAAGTAGTTATGATATATCGAAAATTAACTTATATAATTTATTTCGAGACGATTTGCAAAAATAAAAAAAACTATTAGTACCTCTTCGAGTCGAGAAATAAATAATCGTCTCAAATAATGTATTTCTTGTATTCCATTTTTCTTACAGATAAAATAGTACACTGCAAATTTTGGCCGTCATCTGATAATAGAATGAAATATGCTCCAAAGGCATCTAACAACATTGTACTTTACCAAACGGCACCTGTGCCAATCGCTATCACAAAAAATCACATAAGATATGACAGCAATAATTTCATTTGCTCTGAAAATGGCAATCCCAATTCATTGTAAACCTAGCTTCTAAACCTGAATTATTATGTTTACCTTTCTTTTAAACGATGTGTATTTATCTGTTAAAGATAGAAGAAAATCATTGTATAAACGATTTGCCACATATATTCAATAATAATTATTATAAACTCTTGTTAGACAATTCTTTTAAAATATAATCATAGTAGTTTTCTTTTTCATGACAACCTGAAAAAATGAATTGCAACGTATACAAATAAAATCTTCAAATCAGCAAAAATTGATTCATATTCTCAATGGTTTTTATTAATCATGAATAAATGTCTTTGTGCGATGTTAAGGAAATGAAACTGTTTCCCACACTGTTTCCCTTTAACAGTGTAATTACGAAATGTATAAACATATAATTGTTGTATTTAATTCTATTTTCATTCGTATTTTTTATCCACTGTACTTATGATAATGATTAGCACAGGTGCCATTTGGTAAGGTACAATGTTTTTACATCCCTTCGTGACATATTTCTTTTCGTTATCAGATGACGTCCAAAATTTTTAGTGGAATCTTGGATTAAAACGAGATCAAGTTTGTAAGATTCTGAAAGAGAAAGGTTCAACCTTTTCAATAGCGAAAAAATATTTTTATTTATTTATTAATTTATTTATTTATTTAAATTTTTAATAATATTCATTCAGTTACATAAGAGGTACATAAATAAATAATAAATGAAAAGGCGTGACCAAACACTTTTAAAAGGAGGAAATATATGATTCAATACATCGACGTGAACAATCAGTTAAACGGCAGGGTTCCAGTTTATCCTGAATTTTTGAATTTTCTTTGGAAATTACTTTTTTTTTACTTATTTCTTTGACAGAGTTTGGAAATTTAATAAAACAATTTATTGACATATATGATGGACTTGCATTTTCTTAATTGTCGATGGCCCTTCATCTGAGAAGCTCTGAAGGTGTAGTTGTATATCGAGCCCCTTTTCATCGGGTTCATCTTCAAAGGGACCATCCTCATCTATGTTTGGTACTACAGCAATGTGAGTCACACCCTCAATCTCGAAGAATACTCAATTTGAATGAATAGCCTTTGCAGTTGAGGCATATTGTTGAACATTTCATGCCTACTTTTCGGCAGCTCCACTTCCCTGTACACTTCTTCATGCATTTGCAGGATAATGTGTTGAGAATTTCAGCTGGCGCTGGATCCTTGGTGTTTATGATGGAGAGAAGGCCAAGGTCCGTCCTTCTCCAATCCAAGCTGAGAGGATCCTTTGATCTATCATACAAGCCCTGGATTTGTAGGTACACCTGCAGAATATGTTGGGAATCGGCTGCATTTTTTGGAGGTAGAGAGGCCAGATTAAAAGTTGGCTTTGTTAGGAAATTTAAAACTATATCGTAGCGGATTTTGTCCAAGGAGGTTTCATCTGCATTAGGTGAATAGAGGGCTGCCAAGAACAGTTGACCTGCTGAAATAAGAACCTTAGAATCATGATGAAAGACGCTGACGGTATCTTGTCGATAAAATGCACTGATTACATGTAGGAACAGGAGGATCTGTCTGACAGCATACGAAAAGTATCTGGGAAAGCAGAACGTTTTCTGAGAGGTGCCCTTTCCAAGTTTCATGAATTGGGTGCTTTGGCGGTTAATAAGATCGATAAATCAGTGTCGTTTCTGATTATGATTACCTACCAAGTGAATGTCAGTGTTGACAATAAAAGGTGTCAGCAACCTCAACACTTAGCCTTACGTCAAACCCATGCTGTTATAATTTCTCATGCACTGTTTATAACTATTGATTTTGACTATAAGGCTGAACCAAATTAAGTTTTAAATGTTAGTTGACACAGAATTTAGTCCTTTTTAATATTGAATGGAATAAAATTTTCCGTTTGACGCATCGTTTTTCATTTACAAGCAAAAAAATGAGAAAAGTGCAAAAGTTATGCTCATTTCCAAGGATGACGTAAACTTAGATTACACACATTTAGGACCGAATGAAGATACTAAAACGACTTCGAGCTTGCTGGAAATTAATTCCTGAAAAAATATTAATTTAATTGGCCTAATTTGGAAACTCTTGACATTATTTGATTTTAAAAGTATACTGGTCAGTTTTTCTTCACTAAAAATAACATTGTTAGTTTTATTTACATTTAAGATTAATTATTTTGTTCAAACCATATTTCAATTCTATTAAAAATGTCTTTTCTATCTTCTAAAAGTTTTTTTTTTTTTCTTATTCGCTGATTTTGAGTTATGTTGAATAAATTATTAGATAAGATAGGTCGCGTTACACTTGAGCAGTGTTTAATTTGTTAATATAGTGGATTTTTCACTAGCACTCATTTTTGTGATTTCTACTCTTTGAGTTCTTTTTGATAAATATTTCGTCTTCCTCTTATTCCATATAAATCGTGTTTTCTTAATAAATTACCTTTAATTTAATTAATCATGTCGTAGAACATTGCTAATGCAAAATTCTTGTTTTCAATTATTTCTAAAATGTGTTTAGTAAGCTGAGAATTGGCTGTTTGTGTGGATCTTTTTTTAGGAGACGTTGCTGCGTTTTAGTGAAACAATTATTTTGACTTAGGAATTGATTAGTCTGGAACACATAACTTATTTAAAGATTTCAAAGAAACTGGAAAACAAACAATTTTCTATGATTTTTTGGATCACCTCTTTTATAGAGGTTTAATGAGTACTTGCTTCAACTGATTAGGAAATATCCCTTCCTCGAAGAAGTTACTTATAAAATATATTTCCGAAAAATTAATTTTCCAAGTTGTTATTCTACATTCTACCTAGGCAAATAAAACGAACGCTATTTTCAGTATAATAGAAAATTTTACTTTTCACTTTTAGGGTCAATCAACGATAAATCTGCCGTTTGTATTCCTTAACTCTCAAAACGGACAGTCTAATATCAGCCCCGTTACGTTTCCAGCCCTACATAACCGACCAATTTATTGCAGGCCGGAGAGGGAAAACAGCCAACTATAATCCATGTTCCGTAAATAGGACACAATACAAAAGAGATTAGAGCTCATGCAAACATAACCCCGAAACTCATTGAAATTTAAAACTAGAGGAGATGTAGGTACATCGAATTTAATCGGGACGTGACCCCGATTCCACATCGTGCTGGAAAACCATCTTTTACACTTGATATCATTCATATTTCTTCAGTTTCTGGAAATCCGATTCTCATTAACGTCTTTGTTTAAAAGTTGATTCGCTTTTTGTGCCGTGGAAATTGAGAGGGTTATTAAAAAATAAAAGGGTTAGTAAAACAAAACTGTTTTTCCTTAAAAAATAATGAAAACATATGTCGAAATATTATTTTTTTAAATAAATTATACCATTACTGTATTAATATGCTAATTAGTAAAGGATAGATTCATGGTTAATGTCATGGTACAAATAACTTGAAAATCATTATTAAAAAGAAATAATATTATATTATAGCTAATTTAAACTAGTCGAGCAACAAAGCTGTCACTTAATGTCAGTTTGCGGAAAAAGTCAACTTTGCGGTTGGATTTAGAAGCGCAAAAGCCTCCTTTGGATAGCGATCTTAGAAAAAAGTATTTTAAGTTGATTTGTCAATAAATATTTAATATTTTTATGAATGTGTAAAACTGTGACAGTTTTATAAATAGTCTTGTAAAATTGGAAAAAAGAAAAAATGTAAAACTTACAAATAAATATATTTAACAATTAAAATTGTATACAACTGAAAAAGAAATAGAATCTGCATCATAATATATTTTATCTACTATTTATGGGGCAAAGCTACATAAGACCTGCGCTTCCAGTTTTTCTGAAAACTCTCAAGAAGTGCAAAATTTTTTCTTGCCTCATTACCGAAAACACGCGATGTCACCAAACACCATAGTTTGAGAAATACTGTATCGGCTATGGAAAACCTTCCAATACTCCTTGCAAGTGCGTGTGAAAACTAGAGAACCAGCAATAGCGCAAAAGAAAAGGAACAATACCAGCGAGGCCAGCCTATATGGCCTCTCCAACAATGCATGGGTGTCAATTGCGAAAATTTACGAGAGGCAGATATTACAGGAGACGATGTTCGTGAATACATAGACACAGAAATCGAAATCCAATTTGATAACATTTTTGAAGATATATAGAACAATGAACATAATATTAGTTAGTATAAAATAATAACTTTTATTGCAGAAAAAGACAAACCGCATTATTTAAAAAAATTTCATATCAACTGTACCTGAATTTTGCTTCGTTTTCAAAATATAATTTAAAAACTGTAAGTGTTGCATTTTCATCTCCATCTCCAATTTCCACACTCTAATTAAATAGCGCTCCACGGTTTTTTAACTTTTAATGACCATTTGATCAATTCATGGGATAAAAACCCACGAAGGTGATCATTCCTTTCTATATGATATAATTAATAGCCTACATTTGAATATTGAACATACAATTTCCAATATTTTCTAAAATTATTCTTTTTAAAAATCGTTTACTTGAAGATTCTCTAAAATATTTTACCAAGACAGTCTGTGCAGTTTTGTTTTTCCAAAATATTCTTTTGGACTTTTCTAATTACATGGTCATTAATTACATTTTCCTTTTATTATCCTTAGTTAAATAATTGAAAATAACTTTTAGTATCTCTTGTAAACATTAAAAACGAGCGATACCTCTGTTGTTACATGTGGTGTAGTTCTATATGCAAATAAAAAATGCTAAATCTTTATTGATATCTAGAGTATGCTTTGAATGTCAAAATTACTTTAAAATAAATTGTTTTAATTTTTAAAAAAATTTATCTTTTCCAATTTAAATTAAATTAAAATCTATAGGAATTTCTGATGTAGGTAATCATAATCTTTACAATTTCAATTTTCTAATAAGGAATCTGCTATATTTTTTTTTAATTTAAAATATTATTATTATTATTTCATAAAATCAAAGCACATATTTTTAATCTAATATCCTTGAGGAATGCCTTTTATAGGATTGAATATAACAACTAATGGTTTTAAATTATTACTTTTGGAATAAAATAAGTACCATATAAAAATTGATGAAATTTAGAAAAAGCGAAAATAATTCTTGATCTTTATTTCTTTTTCTGAAAATAAGCTACTTCAGCCGAATTAAAGGTTTTAAATGCAAAAGCTATTAGAACCATCTTCAATGAGAAATAACAAATCTAGAGGCCATAACTACTTGCATATAACTTGCATCTACTGTCAATGTTATGGGATATTTTGGATTAAAGTGAACTAATATTTCATTAGAGGTTAAAAGTTTTTTATGTGTTTAAATGCACTTTGAAAGTCAGTAAACCAAACAAATTTAGTTTATTTTTTAAAAGCTGATATAAAATATGTAAAATTGCTGACAAGTTTAGCACAAAGCTTATGATATAAGATCAATATTTTTTCTGTAACTGCCGTTTTTGGATTAGAAGCTCAAAAAATGTAATTTAAGAAAATTCAACCACGTTGAAATTCATTGTATCACCGTCTTGCAGTAGCGAAGGAACACGACGTGTCACCAAGAAATTTATTGATTTCCTAGAAACATTCTTTACTGTTTAAGCCACGCTTCAAATTGAAAAAATCACAGCCCTTTAATAATGCTACTTGTTCATTTTCATCATGTATTGGCGACATTACTATTTTAAACTTATGAAAATCAGGTATATTTGACAACTGTTACTAACGTAATTTGTGAACAACTAGATTGAAATGTAAGACAAAATTTATTGCAAAAATATAATCGCCTATTAGATAGGTTCAGCGGAAAAAGAACAGCCCTAATACTAGCGTAATCATCATAATTTCCGTACGTTATAATTTTCTGGTGAATCGGAATTCACGCATGCGAATTCTCAGCATGCGGCGCTCCTCAATTTAATTATTGCAACAAACGGCGACGTTGTAAGTAATGAGAAACGAGCGAAGCCGGTTCTGTTTTTGAATCAACGTATATTCCATTAATTACAACGGAAAATCATCGTACGGAAAGCCTTGTGCTCTTGTTTCGGGAAACAATTACACAGTTTCCTCGGGTTTGCTCTTATTTTCCGACTTGGCGGGTAATCTTACTCAAGCGAAATTTTATTGCTCTATATATATTATATTATTTGGTCATTCGTGAGTGCTTTTTGTCGGAGTTTCTGATGGTCGTAGAATAAATATTATTATAAAAGTAATTGGTAACATATAAAACTCGCCTCACACTTAGAACAAACTAATTTAAATTACACGTATACGGTTTATATCTGTTAAAAAATGACCAATATTATAATTGTTAATTGAGTTTTGTGCACCTACTAAAATGAGTGGAAATAGTAGTTTGTGCAACAACAGTAGATATGATGGCTATATTGCACAAATTAGAAGATTGAGCAAGTAACCGGAGTGCTTAATCGTGTGTGATATGGATAATCCACTCGAATTGTACAGTATATTTTTTCTAGGACCCACTAACGAAAATCTACAAATTTAAAAAATTATTTTGGCTTATTAAGACAAAATAACTAATTTTAAAATCATTTATGAATTTTACTACTTTTTAAAATAAAGTAAATATAAAAAAAAATTGTTTAATTAGTCCTAGCGCAGATTTGA